GAGTACATGTACTAGTAAACCATATTTTCCTTTACTCATCATAAGCAGGTTTTATGAGAAGAAGAGTACATGTAAACCATATTTTCCTTTTCTCATCGTAAGCAGGTTTTACGAGATAAGAAGAGTACATGTAAACCATATTTTCCTTTACTCATCATAAGCAGGTTTATGAGATAAGAAGAGTACATGTAAACCATATTTTCCTTTTCTCATCATAAGCAGGTTTTATGAGATAAGAAGAGTACATGTAAACCATATTTTCCTTTTCTCATCATAAGCAGGTTTATGAGATAAGAAGAGTACATGTAAACCATATTTTCTTTTCTCATCGTAAGCAGGTTTTATGAGAAGAAGAGTACATGTAAACCATATTTTCCTTTTCTCATCGTAAGCAGGTTTTACGAGATAAGAAGAGTACATGTATTTGTAAACCATATTTTCCTTTACTCATCATAAGCAGGTTTTATGAGAAGAAGAGTACATAATATGTAGGACTCAAATCTATGGTGGGTTCCAAATCTATGGCAGATTCCTAATCTATGGCATATGTGACGTTACAAACGTCAAAAAAATCAAATCTATGGCAGATTTTTGTTGTCTCCAAATCTATGGCAGATCTTGAAATTGCGTAATTTTCCGGGAAAAAGAGTAACATATAACGTCACAATTGAATAACGCCATATTACATAGTCGCCCCCGCTAACGATGGTATAACCCATAGATTTGAACACCATTCCAGATGCAGGTATTCCCTCTGCAACAATTTGCGGATTGTTCAAAGGAAGATGTGACCTATAATCCGGAAGAGGGACCAAATGTGATGTACCGGCCGAATCCCGCGATGAATAAGGGCGCTGGCGCTGTTTGTAGTACCGTATATTTTAGAAAAGGGAGTTATAGTAAATATTTTACCGTCTACAGCTGGCAAAGTTTATAAAATGAAAGACAACATTACCGGATACCAATTTGATTTCAATCGTCATCAAATAAAAAAGATGAATTAACGATGAAATAAATATTATGTGAAAATTCAAACTGTTCATTTTTATTTTTATTTATTTATTTTTTTATAAAAAAAAACTGCCTTCTTGTTTGTTAAGGGACTTACAGTGGCGGATCCAGAGGGGGGGGGGGGGGTTCCGAGGGTTGGAACCCCCCTTTTTTCTTGACGATCAATGCATTTGAATGGGGACATATAGTTGGAACCTCCCCCCCCCCCCCCCCCCCCTTTATCCTGGGTTGGGAACCCCCCTTTTAAAAATGGCTGGATCCGCCCCTGACTTACTAGTTGGTTTAATGTGAATGGATTAAACGGGTACCATGCACAGATTTAAGGTATATGAAATCATCATTTACGATTTTTTTTGGGTGCCATCACGATGAGGTTGACTATTATGGAATGTTTATTTCACAAATGTTTATAGACATGCTCCAGTTGTTGTACATTTCCACTGATTTAAGACAAGTCATTGGTCGTATATGTACTGCATTGTTTTCCATTTGCACAAAATTTGCCATAGATTTGAAAACAACAAAAATCCGCCATAGATTAAGAAATTACAAAACTTGCCATAGATTAGGATTGTAAAAAATCTGCCATAGATTTCGGATGGCATGACGTCATATTTGCCATAGATTAGGAATCTGCCATAGATTTGGAACCCACCATAGATTTGAGTCCTACACATGTAAACCATATTTTCCTTTACTCATCATAAGCAGGTTTTATGAGATAAGAAGAGTACATGTAAACCATATTTTCCTTTTCTCATCATAAGCAGGTTTATGAGATAAGAAGAGTACTTATCCCCGGCTTAGTATATTTCTAGGATTCTGATTGGTTAACGCACGTCGTTACAAAACCCATAGCCCCTGGGTGTTGCTAACCCATATCCCCGGACGTTGCTACCCATTACATCGGGGAATTTCACGCGCGTTTTCCTTAGTTCTATGGTTGTTCCTTATGAAATATCGAATTCTGTAGATTTTCCATGATGTCTGTATAATTAAATATTTAATCCACTAACGATTTTATCTTATTATATCAATTATTTGCACACATTTTAGTAAATCGTCACTATGCAGCCACATTGTCAATGAATGGTACTACTGACCTAGCTATGCAAATGACCCACGTTGACGTCACACCGTTTATGATGTAACTCTCACAACATTGCGCGCCAAATTCGACCCATTTCAGTTTCTCTGTCTCTAGTTTAAAAACGTCTTATATTTGTCTACCTGTAGGGTTCTACCAAAGGTAGTACCCTACACCCCGTTAAAAATATGTCAAATTCCCAAATTTCAATAAAAGATATTTAAAAAATGAAAAAAACGTTGCTTTCACGTTTAACTTTGTGGTCGAATTTCTCTAAAAATCGCCAGATTTAGACTAAGACCGGGGATAAATTCGTTATCTACGTTCATATCCGTAGATATGGATATTTTAACACCCTTCAGTACCCTGTACACCCTTCGGCTGCGCCTCAGGGTGTACTTGGATACTTCAGGGTGTTAAAATATCCATATCTACGGATATGAACGTAGATAACTTATAATGTAAACCATATTTTCCTTTTCTCATCGTAAGCAGGTTTTACGAGATAAGAAGAGTACATGTACTAGTAAACCATATTTTCCTTTACTCATCATAAGCAGGTTTTATGAGAAGAAGAGTACATGTAAACCATATTTTCCTTTTCTCATCGTAAGCAGGTTTTATGAGATAAGAAGAGTACATGTAAACCATATTTTCCTTTTCTCATCGTAAGCAGGTTTTACGAGATAAGAAGAGTACATGTAAACTTTATTTTCCTTTACTCATCATAAGCAGGTTTTATGAGATAAGAAGAGTACATGTAAACCATATTTTCCTTTACTCATCATAAGCAGGTTTTATGAGAAGAAGAGTACATGTAAACCATATTTTCCTTTTCTCATCGTAAGCAGATTTTATGAGATAAGAAGAGTACATGTAAACCATATTTTCCTTTTCTCATCGTAAGCAGGTTTTATGAGAAGAAGAGTACATGTAAACCATATTTTCCTTTTCTCATCGTAAGCAGGTTTTACGAGATAAGAAGAGTACATGTAAACCATATTTTCCTTTACTCATCATAAGCAGGTTTTATGAGATAAGAACAGTACATGTAAACCATATTTTCCTTTACTCATCATAAGCAGGTTTTACGAGATAAGAAGAGTACATGTAAACCATATTTTCCTTTTCTCATCATAAGCAGGTTTATGAGATAAGAAGAGTACATGTAAACCATATTTTCCTTTTCTCATCATAAGCAGGTTTTATGAGATAAGAAGAGTACATGTAAACCATATTTTCCTTTTCTCATCATAAGCAGGTTTTACGAGATAAGAAGAGTATATGTAAACCATATTTTCCTTTACTCATCATAAGCAGTTTTTAATAGATAAGAAGAGTACATGTAAACCATATTTTCCTTTTCTCATCGTAAGCAGGTTTTACGAGATAAGAAGAGTACATGTAAACCATATTTTCCTTTACTCATCATAAGCAGGTTTTATGAGATAAGAAGAGTACATGTAAACCATATTTTCCTTTACTCATCATAAGCAGGTTTTACGAGATAAGAAGAGTACATGTAAACCATATTTTCCTTTTCTCATCATAAGCAGGTTTTATGAGATAAGAAGAGTACATGTAAACCATATTTTCCTTTACTCATTATAAGCAGGTTTTACGAGATAAGAAGAGTACATGTAAACCATATTTTCCTTTTCTCATCATAAACAGGTTTTAATAGATAAGAAGAGTACATGTAAACCATATTTTCCTTTTCTCATCATAAGCAGTTTTTAATAGATAAGAAGAGTACATGTAAACCATATTTTCCTTTTCTCATCGTAAGCAGGTTTTACGAGATAAGAAGAGTACATGTAAACCATATTTTCCTTTACTCATCATAAGCAGGTTTTATGAGATAAGAAGAGTACATGTAAACCATATTTTCCTTTACTCATCATAAGCAGGTTTTACGAGATAAGAAGAGTACATGTAAACCATATTTTCCTTTTCTCATCATAAGCAGGTTTTTTGAGATAAGAAGAGTACATGTAAACCATATTTTCCTTTACTCATTATAAGCAGGTTTTACGAGATAAGAAGAGTACATGTAAACCATATTTTCCTTTTCTCATCATAAACAGGTTTTAATAGATAAGAAGAGTACATGTAAACCATATTTTCCTTTTCTCATCATAAGCAGGTTTTATGAGATAAGAAGAGTACATGTAAACCATATTTTCCTTTACTCATCATAAGCAGGTTTTATGAGATAAGAAGAGTACATGTAAACCATATTTTCCTTTTCTCATCATAAGCAGGTTTTACGAGATAAGAAGCGTACATGTAAACCATATTTTCCTTTACTCATCATAAGCAGTTTTTAATAGATAAGAAGAGTACATGTAAACCATATTTTCCTTTTCTCATCATAAGCAGGTTTTATGAGATAAGAAGAGTACATGTAAACCATATTTTCCTTTTCTTATCATAAGCAGGGTTAATTCTGTTACATATTCTAACATCAGACTCGGACTTCTTTTAAACTAAGTTTTACTGTGCGTATTGCTGTGCGTTTGTTTATTCCACATTGGCTAGAGATATAGAGGGGGGGGGGGTTGAGATCTCACAAAACATGTTTAACCCCGCCGCTTTTTTTAGCCTGTCAAAAGTCAGGAACCTATGGCCTTTGTTAGTCTTGTATGGTTTTTTTAATTTTAGTTTATTTATATGCTTTTAGTGTGACGTCCATTTTTGAAGAACTAGTACACATTTTTTTTAGGGGCCAGCTGAAATCCGCCTCCAGGTGCAGAATTTCCTCGCTGTGTTGACCCTTTAGTGGCCTTGGTCTGTTTTCTGCTCTTTGGTCGGGTTGTTGTCTCTTTGACACATTCCCCGTTTCCATTCTCGGTTTTATTTATGAGATGAAAAGAGTGTTAACCATATCTTATTAACTTACCTGCACAGTTGGCTTCATCGTCCCCAGCTGGACAATCCTGGTATCCGTCACACTTGGCTGAGTCAGAAATACATGTCAATCCGTCACTACATTTGCTTTTACCTGAAGGGCAATTGAATTCTGAAAAGAAAAACATGAGCCTTATTGTCTTTAATTGTTCTGTGACGAGACAATATGCAATAGAAAATTATATAGCAATGAACGATAAGTTTTACAGAATATGAGTTATCCCTTATTACCCTGTGGATACAAAACAAAGTAATGAAAATTAACAGTAGTATGTACAACTTGACCATATCATATTAAGTACTGTAAATTTAGAATTATACGTTCGATAAACTCATAAGTTATATTTGTCGTCAATTAGAATTTCTGAATCAGTTAATTTTAAAATATTACCATCAAAAATTAAAATGCGAGTTGAATTATTGCGATGTAAATCCTTTTCCATTATTTGCTTCAAGTAAACATCTCAATAACTTTTGTACATGACAGGTACACCCAATTCAAATCCTTAATGTTGTACATGACAGGTACACCCAATTCAAATCCTTAATGTTGTACATGACAAGTACACCCAATTCAAATCCTTAATGTTGTACATGACAAGTACACACAATTCAAATCCTTAATGTTGTACATGACAGGTACACCCAATTCAAATCCTTAATGTTGTACATGACAGGTACACACAATTCAAATCCTAAATGTTGTACATGACACGTACACCCAATTCAAATCCTTAATGTTGTACATGACAGGTACACCCAATTCAAATCCTTAATGTTGTACATGACAGGTACACCCAATTCAAATCCTAAATGTTGTATATGACACGTACACCCAATTCAAATCCTTAATGTTGTACATGACAGGTACACCCAATTCAAATCCTTAATGTTGTACATGACAGGTACACCCAATTCAAATCCTAAATGTTGTATATGACACGTACACCCAATTCAAATCCTTAATGTTGTACATGACAGGTACACCCAATTCAAATCCTAAATGTTGTATATGACACGTACACCCAATTCAAATCCTTAATGTTGTACATGACAGGTACACCCAATTCAAATCCTAAATGTTGTATATGACACGTACACCCAATTCAAATCCTTAATGTTGTACATGACAGGTACACCCAATTCAAATCCTAAATGTTGTATATGACACGTACACCCAATTCAAATCCTTAATGTTGTACATGACAGGTACACCCAATTCAAATCCTTAATGTTGTACATGACAGGTACACCCAATTCAAATCCTAAATGTTGTATATGACACGTACACCCAATTCAAATCCTTAATGTTGTACATGACAGGTACACCCAATTCAAATCCTAAATGTTGTATATGACACGTACACCCAATTCAAATCCTTAATGTTGTACATGACAGGTACACCCAATTCAAATCCTAAATGTTGTATATGACACGTACACCCAATTCAAATCCTTAATGTTGTACATGACAGGTACACCCAATTCAAATCCTAAATGTTGTATATGACACGTACACCCAATTCAAATCCTTAATGTTGTACATGACAGGTACACCCAATTCAAATCCTAAATGTTGTATATGACACGTACACCCAATTCAAATCCTTAATGTTGTACATGACAGGTACACCCAATTCAAATCCTAAATGTTGTATATGACACGTACACCCAATTCAAATCCTTAATGTTGTACATGACACGTACACCCAATTCAAATCCTTAATGTTGTACATGACAGGTACACCCAATTCAAATCCTAAATGTTGTATATGACACGTACACCCAATTCAAATCCTTAATGTTGTACATGACAGGTACACCCAATTCAAATCCTAAATGTTGTATATGACACGTACACCCAATTCAAATCCTTAATGTTGTACATGACAGGTACACCCAATTCAAATCCTAAATGTTGTATATGACACGTACACCCAATTCAAATCCTTAATGTTGTACATGACAGGTACACCCAATTCAAATCCTAAATGTTGTATATGACACGTACACCCAATTCAAATTCTAAATGTTGTACATGACAGGTACACCCAATTCAAATCATATATGCTGTGCATGACAGGTATATACCTAATTCAAATCCTAAAAGTCGTACATGACAAGTACACACAATTCAAATCCTAAATGTCATACATTTCAGGTACACCCAATTCAAATCCTTAATGTTGTACATGACAGGTACACCCAAATTCAAATCCTTAATGTTGTGCATAACCGGTACACCAAATTCAAATCCTAAATGTCGTACATGACAGGTACACCAATTCAATTGCTAAATGTTGTACATGACAGGTAAAATCAATTTAAATCCTAAATGTCGTACATGACAGCTAGGTACACCAAATTCAATTCGTAAATTTCGTACATGACAGGTACACCGAATTCAAATCCTTAATGTTGTACATGACAGGTACACCGAATTCAAATCCTACATGTTATACATGACAGGTACACCCAATTCAAACCCTAAATGTCGTACATGACAGGTACACCCAATTCAAATCTTAAATGTTATACATGACAGGAAAACCCAATTCAAATTCTAAATGTTATACATGACAGATACCCCCAATTTAAATCCTATATGTTGCATATGACAGGTACACCCAATTCAATTCCTAATAAATGTTGTACATGACAGGTACACCCAATTCAAATCCTATATATGTAAACCTACTTGAACACATTGTACTATCTTCATCAGATCCATCAACACAGTCTGCATAACCATTACATTTGTCTGCTTCAGATGTACAATCTATAACAACAATAAAAACAGTTGTGACATTGTATTACAGCCTAACACTGACATTGTAGTACAGCCCAACACTGCATGACATTGTATTACAGCCTAACACTGACATTGCATTACAGCCTAACACTGACTGAATCCCTTTTAAATACTAGCAGTGCAATCAGGTGTTCACATTCCACTAGTTGCATCCTTAGTGTTGCTCATTGTAAGTAAAGCTCAGGTAATAAGTTGGCATCACCAGCCATTAGCCAGTACTTTGGTATTGGGATGAAAATACGGATATTACTTTATTGAAATTTGCTGTTATAAAATTGTGGAAGTCATTTAAAATTGAGAAATTATCTTCCTCGTGCTTGGCTCTGATTCCTCGTCGAGTTTCACTTATCTTCTGATCTTTCTTTTTTTTGCTCTATCAGCTCTTCATCGTTTGTATTAGGTTTTGGATTTTCAAATAGTTTGGCTTCGAGAATTACTGAAGAGACATTGTCGAAATACACATCTGGTGCAGTAAAAATTGTACCGTTAAAAAAGATATTACTACCAGTGTGTCGATGATTCAGCTGGTGGACTATTATATAAATAACACATAGCTGAGAGGGTGATAGAGCAGATTGTTACCCAGAGAAAACATTGTCAACTGAGGCGAAGCCAAGGTTGACAATGTCTTTTCGAGGGGTAACATTGTTTTATTAAGCTCTTCAAAGTTTGTATTATAGGTTATGCAATTTCAAAACATTTGGCATCGAGCTTCACTGAAGAGACAGACCTTAATTGTCAAAATGCATCAGATGAAGAAAAATTGGTACTGTTATTGCATTCGGTGGTCATAATTTAGTTCAATATATAGTGGAACCTTGTGATGATCAGTGGCTGTTGTAATATCTTTCTCTACGTGCCTACGTAGGACGTCAGAATTCACAAAAAAATGTCATATCAGTTTTGAGTGTCTCGATACAATATTATTAGGTTGGAAAATCTTTGGAGTGCGTTTTTTTTAATACTAGTAGCCTTACCCGTTGGTGCTTGAGTAACTGGTGCATTAGCTGTAAAATAAAAAAAAAAAGAATTGTGAAATCATGTCAAATAACAATGATATAATCTTAAATTGTTACACCATTGTCCCAGGTTATATCTTACTATATAGTACGAGTTTTGCTCATTGTTGAAGGCCGGAAGGTGAACTGTAATTGTTCAGATCTTTGTCAAGGTTTTGAGATATAGTTGTCTCATTAACGATCATACCACATCTCCTTATTTTCAAATCTTAAGGCAAAGTATACGTAATTCGGATTTTTCTGAAATTTGGTATACAATTAGAACTTGTTCAGAACTGCATCCGACTATCGAAAATTATATGTGTATCATTTATACTACCAGAGATACAATCTATTAAAAACATTTGTGAAACAGATCTACAAATGTACAGAATGTACGTAAAAAGTTGCAAAACAATACAATACTTTAGATTATATCCACAGTGTGTTGTATAAAGATAATATGTTTTTGCTATGAACATTACCGTTTTAATGATATAAAATGTATGTTGAGTCACCAACTTTTACAGTAGAAATCAATTGGTATCACGTAAAGAATAAAAAAAGGCGTAAAAGGGACAAAAATAAGCGTAACGTCGCAATGGCGTCATGCTGCAAAGTCGTAGTTTTTTTGTTTAATATACACCACACAAACTTAAACAATTTACAGAAAAAAAATCAAAACCATTATATTTTCAATCTTTAAAATGAAAAAAAAAAATCTGTTATAACATATATTTTTTAATAAATTTCTGTGGAGGAAAATCGGGAAATCGCAATTTAGAATTTAGAAAAAATGGTATATGTTCGCCCCCTTTTAACGTACATTCTATAAATTCAAAGGTCTATTACATAAATGTTTAATTGATAGAATCTCTTAATAAGTATAAATGCTACATTTTCCGATTTTCATATGAAGTTCAACGAGTTCTAATGCTTACAAAATTTCATAAAAATCCAAAATACTGCCCAATTACATACACTTTCTTCTGTCAAATTTTGAGTAAAAAAATACAATTTAAATCAGTTCTATATATCATCTTGATATATAGTCAGTACTATTTATATGACAGAAAAACTAATAAAACTTAGTAAAAAAGATCAGATTTCGATTCGATTTAGTACAATAAGAATGGCTAATTAGATTCTTTTTTTTTGTGAAAATCATAATAATAAACTTTTGCATCTGCATTGCAGTTTACAAAATAATAAATACATATATCAACAACAAAATCAAGACAAATAACTCACTTGCACAATTTTTTTCATCAGATCCGTCATCACAGTCGCTGATATCGTCACACCTCCAGGAGTTGACAAAACACTGATTTGTGGTGTCACATTTAAATTCTCCGTCACTGCATCCACCTGGAGCACTAGTAGGTCCGGACGTTGGAACTGGCGTTGAATTGTCTAGAAACGAGTTTGTTTTTCTTTTATAAACATTTTAAATATGTTCCGACTGTGTTATTGCAATCCCATACAACATGTCATGTTATTGTATGATATTTATTGCATAGTTTTATAAATTATGTATACGCTGATTGTTAGGATATTTTTCATTCATAGTCAAAATTTCAATTCCGAGGCTTACCCATTTCAAGATATTTAAGTATCGGGAATGCAGAGAAATTTAATTAATAGGGTGAAGCAGTTAGAAGTAGTGAAATTGTCGTGATTTTAAAATGCCTAGTTAACGTATATAAATAAACTTACCTGGACCACTGGTTGGAACTGGAGTTGATTTGTCTGAAAATAGTGAACAGAGGTTTAAAGATACGACATTTCTCCCCTCGTAACAGTTCATTTTTCGAATTTTAACCGCAAGGCTTGCCGATAATTTATTTTGTTTTTAAAATTGTCCTTAAATAAAATATAGTTTCTTGTTGGTCACATGCGCTATATTTTTAACTGAAACTATCAAATTTTCTAATTGTAGAAACGGTTAATGTACCAAGTCAGTAACTGCAATAATTACAAAATATAGTTGATTTTTTACAACTACATTTTTAGCTTGATAAGTTCATATACAGTTCAAAGAGATCAAGAAAATAAAAAGGGGACAATAAAAATCCAAAAAGTCAAGAATATTGCCCCAAAAAAGAAAAACGACGAACAAACAAACGGTCACAAAACATTGCACAGAGACCTGCAGATTAAGCGAACGCCACAAACTCAGGTGTTTCGGAAAGGTCAGCAGGTCCTGCTCCACTAGTTACAACCGTCGTGTTCTAATTTTGGGGATACAATATTTATTTGGAGACACCCATTATTTTATCAATATAATGTTATCACGCTAGTAAATTTATACTCTCTCTTTTACACAAGTGAATAAAATGCAAACATAAAAGATAATTGCTCAACTCTTATTTTTGTAATATTTCTACATCTTCGGATGATGGAATTTCACCTTCAGATTTACCACTTCGTACCCAACATAGCTAAGATATTGATGAAATAACGGAGGATGAGATTAAAGACGTACTCAAATCTTTGGAAATTGGTAAAGCATCCGGTGAAGATTGTATCAGTCATCAAATGTTAAAATATACTGCTAATAGTGTGCGTGTACCTTTATCATATATATTCGATTGTTCAATGAGAACTTCAAACTGTCCAAGTTGCTGGAAAGTTGCTAATGTTTTAGCTTTTTAAAAAAAGGTGATAAATCGATGGTTTCAAACTATCGTCCTATTGCATTGTTAAGCTGTGTGGGTAAAGTTTTTGAAAGGATAGTTTATAAACATATTTTTAATATCATTTTTGAACACCAGCTATTGTATAAATTCCAGTCAGGTTTCGTTCCTTGTCATTCAACATTTCATCAAATGATTGAAATTTATCACAGAATTTGTTTAGCAACGGAAGACTAATTATTTGTATGATTTTTCGTGACATCTCGAAGGCTTTTGACCGACTTTGGCATAAAGGTCTACTGGCAAAAAATAAATCATATGGTATAAAAGGCAAATTATTGGGTTGGATTGAAAATTACTTAATAGGAAACAGAAAGTACTTCTGAAAAATTAAGAATCCACATTTGGAACATTAAAAGCAGGTGTGCCTCAAGGCTCAGTGCTTGGGTCCTTATTATTTCTTATGTTTATAAATGACATGGCAGATGAAATTCAATGTTTAGTTAGACTTTTTGCCGATGATGGTTCACTTATGTATTCTTCGAATAATGATAAAGATATAGAGAGGAGATTAAATATGGATCTAGAAACTTTAAACAATTGGTAAAAATAGTGGCTTAGAGATTTTAATCCTTAAAAAAAAACCAGAATATATGGTGTTTAAATTCCGTAAGGATTTCCAGCCTATTAATTTGAAATTTAATGGACAATTTATTAAAAAAAGTTTATGACCACAAACATTTGGGTGTTACGTTTTCTAACAACTGCAAGTGGTCATAGATAATATTTGCTGTAGTGCCACTAAACAGATTTTTGTTCTTAGGAAATTGAAATATATTCTTAGCAGAAACAATCTTAATAACATATATCTTGCATACATACTTCCACTTTTAGAATATGCATGCGAGCTATGGGATGGGTGCTATGTTGGAGATTTTGAAAAAAATTGAGCGCTTGCAGCTTGAGGCAGCCAGAATTATTACTGGACTTTCGCAATTTGCAAGAAAAGAATCCCTACTTTTTGAAACTGGATGGGAAACTTTGAGTTCTAGAAGAAATAGACGTAAATTATATTTATTTCATAAAATACACAATAATAATGTTCCAAAATATCTTATGGATTGTATCTCAGATTATGCAGATAATTATTATAATACTAGAAACCGTTCTCACTATAAGAGTACCGAGATGTAGATTGGACATATTTTCTAAATCATTTTTCCCTTCCTCAATTCGTGCATGGAATTTATTGCCTTTAGATATTAGATCTATTCAATCATCTCCAAATTTCAAAAACAAAAATACAATCCGGCGAAATGACATTTCATTTTTGGTACCTAAATATTACCTTATTGGAAATAGGATAGAAAACATATTGCATTCAAAATAACGGCACAGATGTAGTCCATTAAAAGCTGTTTTATACAGAGTTAATTTAGTAAATGACTCAAGCTCAAAGTCCACTCTACATAAATTTTAGAAATCAGTTCTTTGAAAATATCCAACAATTAGTTGTAATTTCCATAGAACATATTTTATTTGGATTGGGTCAAAACAAGTACTAAGGGAGCTACCATTTGATTTTGATAGGGAAGGGGGGTGGGCTAGGATGAAAAATTTTGTCCTGCATTTTTTTTTAGTTGTAATCTCTGTCCTGCCTTTTTATTTTTCACTCTATTCGGTCCTGCCTTTTTTATTAGTTTATCCTGACTTTTTTTTACATAAATTGTCATCCTGCCTTTTTATTTTGCCAAGTTGCTCATCCTGTCCTTTTTTTTACTCAAAACTCCTGTCCTGCCTTTTTTCAAATTTCATCCTAACCGCGCCCTTAAAAATCAAATGGTGGCTCCCTTATAACTATAATAGGAATTCAAATAATTATAAGTGCCGGAATTTAACAATATATACGTATTTGCCACAATCAAATATATCGCGCAAATCTAATTTTCAATTATATTAATTTTTTGTCTGTACCTCCACAGTTCTCCTCGTCAGACCCATCACTACAGTCCGTTACTTCATCACACTTCCAGGAGTTAACATAACATTCATCTGTAGTGTCACATTTAAACTCTCCTTCTGAACACTCACCTGGAACACTGGTTGGAGCTGGGGTTGATTTGTCTGAATGAAAAGTGAACAGAATGAGTTTAAAATGACATTACTCATGTCTTTTTCGTAATCATAGTAAAATGCCACAATTCTGCTACTGTAACCGTTTCTAAGGATGTTTAGATGTCATATCTTCAATTTAAAATACATAAAAATTGATTAGTGCAAGGCTGGTATTCGGAAGTAAAATACTACTCATTTGAACAGATTGGAAGAAAACACGTAAAATTTATAAAATCGGCGATTATATATTTGAAAGATACAAAACTATATACATATACATGAATACTTTGCGTAATGCAGTTACATCATGAATAAAATAAATCATATACTTCACATTTTTCAAGCATTAATATAGATTATCCGTGAATTGTGTCGCAAATAAGGTTATAGGAGTAATTTTGTCATCAACTTCTTTCCCTCAGAAATTCAACTTGATGATAAAGGCAATTGAAACAGTCACCATGTGGCTTGTATGCATGGAACTGCATCTACGAACTTATACCCCGTAAACTTGATTTTTTTTTAGATTCAGGAAGGGACTTCAAAATTTAAAACATGTACAAACATCAATTATCCAAGCCCATTGTCCTTTTTTTTAAATTTTCATTAAAGATACTTGAGTTACATAAACAGTTTGGCTCCACGTTGATATTCAGTTAAAAAAAATTTCGGGTTAAAAAAGTACGGGTTCATTATGGTTGAAAAATGTCAATTTCAATTTTTTAAATTTCTTTAATGTATGAAGTTTTGTAGACAACACCATTCATTACCTTCACAATTCGCCTCGTCAGACCCATCACTACAGTCCGTTACTTCATCACACTTCCAGGAGTTAACAAAACATTCCTCTGTAGTGTCACATTTAAACTCTCCTTCTGAACACTCACCTGGAACACTGGTTGGAGCTGGGGTTGATTTGGCTGAATAATTGTTAAATCATTTTTAATGTTCATTATCTGATTTATGTTGTTTTAAAGATGCCAAGTCACGCTTTATGAGTGTATAAGTAGTAGAAAATGGATGGAAATAAGCGCATTTATTTGCATTCTTTAAAAGTTTATATTGAGCTAGCTACGGGATAAATCATTTATGTTAAAATCATTATTCATAGTGTTTTAAGTAAACTATTTTAATTATCGTTTGTAGGTATATTTTCTTTGTACATAGTTCAGTCTCTGAGACTATTTTTTTTGTCTAAATACATGTATTATATTTAACATCTCCAATCAGACAGACGTGACTGCGTACTAATACTTCCCGTGGATCCAAACACTTACCGGCCCCTTTTCCAGAAGCACGAACAAAAAGATTGAAAAGTCATAGACGAATATACCCTCACAGTGCACCAAACTATTCAGTAAGTTAAAATTAACTATAGTTTTATAGCAACATTGGTAAAGAGAAGAGCGAATTGGTAATCCTCAAGATGCCAAAAATATCTTTCATGTATCAAAGCATAGTTCAGTAAAAATGATGTATAACCATGGTTGAACGAAAGATGATTCTACAACAATAGACCTTTAAGGAAAGAGATACTCTATCTATATATTTGTACCTTCACAGTTCTCTTCATCTGAATTATCACCACAGTCTTTAATGTCATCACACTTCCAGTCCTTAGGATAACATCCCTCGCCGTTATCACATGCTAGTTCATCAGAAGGACATGTCTCTGGAGTTGGGCTTGGATTCGGTTCTAAATTAAAAAGAAACAAAGAAATATAGCTTTGGTCGTGCCAACACAATTTTGAACGGATTGGATATGTTTTTTTTTTATTCATAACACAAAATTTAATGTTGCAAAAAGACACATGAAAATCAAAAGAATAACATGACATAGAAATTGCAAAAAGACACGTGAAAATCATAAGAATAACATGACATAGAAGTTGCAAAAAGACACATGAAAATCAAAAGAATAACATGACATAGAAGTTGCAAAAAGACACATGAAAATCAAAAGAATAACATGACATAGAAGTTGCAAAAAGACACATGAAAATCAAAAGAATAACATGACATATAAATTGCTTTTAATTCCGTAGCTTTGATTGGCTGAATCATTCAAAGAGTTATATTTTATTTCCGTATAAATGTACCATCTACGACTACACGTGCCCTCTGTCACAACGTTATAACAATGCATAGAAAAACAAACAAAAGATTTTTAAAACTCGTAATTTCATGGTGGAAATTTCTGTAATGTTTATTTACTTCTTTTTATGGGTAGTAAAATCGTTGAACGTACGCACATTTTAGTATGAAGAGTTCTTCATACAAAATGTGCTTCGCGAACCCAATAAAATGACAAATGTCATAGGAATTGTCCTAAATTTATGACATCATTTAAGGTGTCTTATGATGGTCTTTACTGTAGGATATATTTTATGATGATTATTTTGTAAACAATAACGGCCACTGTCAGTTTATTTAAGGAGAATCGTATATAGGCAAATATTTTTCCTAGAAATAGACTGCTTATGGACTATGATAATCCACTGGACTATTTGGATGAAATTAGCATTATACGCTTTTATCGATTATATTGAGGTGTCACTATGCTAGGACGGATTCGATAAACAGGTCACAGAAGACAAAGATTTGAACAATTACAGGTCACCGTACGGCATTTAACAATGAGCAAAACCCATACCATAAAGAAAGTTGACAAATATGAAACAATTTAAAAGAGAAAACCAACTAATATGCAAAAACAATAATCGAAAAATAAATATGACAGACAGAAACTCATTGCAACGACAACAGCTGTGTTACAAGCTCCTGCCCTAGGACAGGCACATAAAAGATGCGACATGGATTTACATATTTGTGAGCTTTATCAACCCTACCCCTTACTTGTGACAGGAATGGTGTGTAACAACACAACAACAATAACCAGCAATAAATAAGTAATAAATAAGTTATACTCTGACTCTAGGGTCTAAGCACACAATCAATTAGCAAAATGACCCCGGAACCGATCTAAGAGGACCATGTTCTCCCGGACTTAATGTCAATTATTATCCTATGTATTCACTTTTGTGAAGACCAAAGGGCGAGAGTGTAAACTACTATAGGTCATCGTACGGCCCTTCGACAATGGATAAAACCAATATCTTATATTAAGTTATAAAAAGGCACCGACATGAAAAAATGTGAACCAACTCAGAAGATAAAAACTACGATTTATGCTTAAACAAACTGTAACAGCACCATATGAGAACAAACTGTACAAGTCTGTTGGAAAGGACACGACTCTTCAGATTGACACGAAGCAAAATAAAAAACCGAATAAATAAAACAAAAACATATATATATCCTACTTTCATATATATAAGTTTTGTGAATATACATATTTCTACAAGTCTATTTAAAGATTTGTTCCATTATGTTCTATTTAATGATTACTAAATACGAATAAGATGAAATAATATCGTATTGACAAATATTTCAGCACAACAAGCTATCTTCTTCAGTGTCAATCTTATTTTTCAAAATGCATAATACAATCTGAAAAATCCTTTCATATATGTAACACAAGTAATATACATTTTTGACATTTATTCTTACTCGATGAATAATGTGTGTGCATCACAAAAAAAGACAAGATGATTTAAAAAAAACGTAACATTTGTTGGCAAAAACATGTTGTCAGAACATTTTTAATCGTACACATCGTGACATCGGAGCATAGTGAGGCAACTGGACCAGATGATATACCATCCTGTATACTAAAGACAGCAGCAGACCAACTTGCTCCAATTCTTACAGAACTGTACCAAGCATCCCTCAACACCGGAGAAGTCCCTCAAGATTGGAAAGATGCAAATGCAGTCCCTCTCTTCAAAAAGGATGAAAGACATTTAGCATCAAACTACAGACCTGTATCACTTACATCAATTACATGCAAGGTCCTAGAACACATTGTACACAGCAGCGTAATGGACCACTTTGACAAAAACAAAATCCTTACAAACGCACAACATGGATTCCGAAAACGACGATCTTGCGAATTCCAACTTATCATCACCATTCATGATATTGCATCGATATTAAAAAGTAACAGCGAAGTAGATATCATCCTACTAGATGTCGCAAAAGCGTTTGATAAAGTGCCACACCATCGCCTACTACATAAACTTGAGTATTACGGAGTAAACCCTAAAACAAACAAGTGGATAAGATCATTCCTACAAAACAGAAGGCAAAGCGTTATCATAGAGGGAGCTGTCTCTGAACAGGTACCACTACTCTCTGGTGTACCTCAAGGCACAGTTCTTGGACTTCTGCTGTTCCTAGCCTACATAAATGACATGCCAGAAACAGCAACAGCATCAGAGACCAAATTATTTGCGGACGACAGCCTCCTCTACAGAACAATAATCAACCAAGCAGAAAGCGACCTACTGCAGAAAGACCTAACGTCATTAGAGGACTGGGAAAATAAATGGCAAATGAGCTTCAATGCGAAAAAATGCATTGTAATCCAAATACAATCCAAGAACCGTCCAGTGATACCAACTTATTACAAACTACATGGACACACACTAGACACCATTGAAGCCAGCAATTACCTAGGATAACAATCAGCGATAACCTAACCTGGGACAGACATATTGACAATATAGTGGGTAAAGGCAACAAAACACTAGGCTTCATAAGACGGAACCTAAAAGATTGCACTAAAACGGTTAAAGCAGCAGCATATTCAACAATAGTAAGACCTTCAGTTGAATATGCATGCACGGTATGGGACCCAACAAAACAGACTAAAATAGAGGCAATTGAACAAGTGCAGAAAAGAGCAGCCAGATTTGTAAACAACAACTATACAGACCGCACACCTGGCTGTGTAACAAACATTGTAAAATCATTAAAATGGGAAAGCCTTGAAGACCGCAGGAAACAAAATAGGCTATGCATGTTGTTCAAAATACAACATGATCTAATCGACATAGATCGGCACCAATATCTGACGCCAAACGATAGCCGGACCAGAGGTAAAAACCGCTTCTATCAAGAAAGGGCCACAACAGACGCCTTCGGCCAATCCTTCTTTCCAAGGACCACCATGGACTGGAACCAACTGCCAACATCAGCGACAGCAGCAGACACAGTCGAAGGATTCAGAGCTGCCCTGAAGGCATTCTCTGCTAAAACCTAGACAGTAACATCCTGTACATAGTTTTATTTTGTATATATATATATAGAATGTTTTAAATGTAAATAGCCAAGAGAAAACTTTCTGTGTTGTCCGACACTGCGCAAAGTTTTCGCGGGACCTAATACATTCAGTTATTGAATCCGGTTCCTTACCTGGAAGAAGAAGAAGCGAAAGATCTGATTTAAATCCGATTTGCGAAGAATGGAGTTCCGTGTATAATATATGTATAATATGAACTTTCGAAGAATGCCTTTCCGTGTATAATATATGTATAAAGTGAACTTTCGAAAAATGGTCTTCCGTTGTAATATATGTATAAAGTGAACTTTCGAAGAATGGTCTTCAGTGTGTAATATATCTATAAAGTGAACTTTCGAACCTCGTATTCTCGAAAATTTTACAGATAGTCTGATTTGTTTAAATTTACATTTCACTTTCTCTCAGGATAAAAATAAAAAAATATCGACCTAAAAATATAACGAATTCTTATATAACTATTAAAAATATAGGTTTGAATCATTATCGAACTCGCATTCAAAATTTTTGTTTAACTCACTATCATCACATCCGCATTCGTCACTTCCGTCCAAACAATTGGCGATACCATTACATCTTTCATTTACAGGAATACATGTCGAACCCTTTTTACATTCAAATTCAGCTGCTACATCACACTGTCCTGGGTGACATTTTGGATATAAAGGAAAACAATGTTTTAAAAAGGAAACCAATGCTTTTAAAAATACGCATCAAACAAAACGTTCAACTGGAAGCCTTTATGTAAAGCAAAATATTGTCCTATGAAATATTTTCCCCCAAGACAATATTTCATGACTATGTATCATGAAATATTGTCATCTATGAAAAAATGCCCAGAGAAGGACAAATTCCCATTGTGAAATTTTGTCTGTATATAGACAATATTTCACAGATGATTACTATCAAATTTTGTCCTCTTAAAGGCAATTATATTTTGTGTGTATTGAGACAATGTTTCATAGACAGATTGTTATGAAATTTTGTCTCACGAAGGGGAGTTTATCAACATATATTATGTTGGATAATGATATTGTATTTGACTGATAATAACAAATAAACACAAATTTATATTTCAGTTACATTGTACTGCTGTTCCTCCAAAATACTATCGCAAAAAGATTTGTCAATATAGTATTTACAAATACTATTAGTACATTCAATTTTGAACATAAATAAGATAATGATGGGAGTTTTTAACGACCTTGACTGGCTATACAGCCCTCGCACGGTCGGCTCATAAATAAGTGAGTTTCGGTACATTACTTGTATGTATACAGTATAATGTAGTACAAAGGAACATACATTAGACAATTCTTTAATCTATACTTAACCATTTATAAAGCATCTATGCAAATTTGAAACTAGCTTATGTTAAAATAAATATTATTTTGAAATATAAAATACTTACTTTACAAAATAATTTCAGTAAGAAATCTAAAAATGTGCATACTGCATGCTTGTGTACTATTTTAATTTTGTAATAATTTGATTAAGAAATATTTCATAGACAGTATTTCACAGTATAATAATGTCACAATAGACAGTATTTCACTATGAAATATTATCATGGACAGTATTTCATAGTGAAATATTGTCATGGACAGAATTTCATAGTGAAATATTGTCCTGTAGGAGGTGAAAAAAATTTCATGGACAAGGACACTATTTCATTAAGAAAATAGTGTCCGCGGACAATATTTTATATGAAATTTTGTCCAACTGACAATATTTCATGGGGGACAATATTTTATGTTACATTTACTCCCCCTCCCCCCTTTCCAACTCATAACTAGTATAATTTTGTCTTATACGTGTGTTTGTGCATAGAGATTTAGAATATCAATATACGTCGGGAGTGTATTCATGCTTTAAAAACCAGAAGGGAAAGAACATGTGGTATTACCTTGATTGCAAGGAAACAACCATACTCCACTCTGTGAGTCTTTTGTGGCTATTCCAACGTTAACTACATTCAATGGATTTTTTTTATCTTTCCATTGCAAGATTTTAATTTTATCTCCATTTTTGACTTTGATCTTGTTGTTTTTCCAAGTTATTAGAAATTCGCTAAATTCGTCTTGATTTAAAACTGCACCATGAAATAACGCTTTTATTTTTCCATTTTTACCAGCTTGGATCATTGACACAGTGTTACCTGATCCCCCTAGAACAATTTTATACAAGGGATCGTTGGTATTGTCTGTTGACATTAAGGCGATTTCGGCATCATGACTGGCCTTGATCTTCAACTTAATTTTGATATTTTCCGAGTCGTCAATAGTTATACCATAGTCGGACAAGACTTTATAACCATCTGTCTTGTCTGTTGTAATGCTCATATCTGCACATGCTTCAAAATAGAAATACGCCTATTTGAATATAACATAAACTATTTGTACTTCTTTGGATCCCACTTAGCTTAGAACATTTCTATTATGTTTAAGTAGCTCTTCTTGTTCCTCTCATCAACTACACAGAATTAGTTGAAATTGGTTAAGCACATGAGAGATATATTTGATGAATGAACGTGCTAGGAAGTACATGAGATATATATTTGAATTGTTCGTGCTATGAAAAAAGAGGTTCTTTAAAGACATTTTATAATTTTGTAAGTGGATTGGAAATATAAAAATAAAAAGATGTGGTATGATCGCCAATGAGACAACTCTCCACAAGTGACCAAATGACACACCAAGCCTACAAATCTCAAGTAACATTAAACTTTATCACTCATGATTTAATTGATAAAAATAAAGGTAAAATTGTTATAGTATTTTTTTACTTTAATATTCCTCGATTAGTAACCGTCTGACATTAAGCAGTAGGCTATTTATCAGTAAAAAGCGGAAAAATGAAAATAAATATTTTCAAAAAATTTCTCTGGATACTGTATTTTGGTCATAAACAAGCTTCTGTCCAAATTTCACAAAATTCCATGTAGGTTGGCATAGTTATTGATGTCTAAAATAAACTTTAACCTCAGACTAAATCTGAATGTTAACTGTAAGAAGACTAAATCTGAATGTTAACTGTAAAAAGACTAAATCTGAATGTTAACTGTAAAAAAACTAAGTCCATTTATTGGTAAAATACGGAAAAATAAAAATAAATGTTTTCAAAATTTTGCTCTGGATACTGGATTTTGGTCATAAACAAGCTTTTGTCCAAATGTCATAAATTCCATATAGGTTTGAAAAAGTTATTGATGACTGAAAAAAAATTTAACCACAGACTGAACCTAAATGTTGACGACGCCGACGACGGATTCTAGGATCGCTATGTCTCGCTTTCGCGAAATAAATTTCGCAGGCTCGACAATAATGGAAATAGTTTAACACAATTACTTATTCCCTTTTGAAATTCCTGTTATTAGGTCACCACTCATTGTGGTATTTAATATCTAGTAAAAAGGTAAGTCATTGGTCAGAATACAAAATAAACCAAACAAATTGCTTTTTACCGACGTTTATTTTGACCAGTGCAGTTAAGTTGAATTATGAAAATTCACCATGATGATTTGTTTTAGACTCCTCAAAAACTGTTTAAAAGAGGAAAAATGAAAGTTATACGTTAACGTTTAAATCATGTTTCCTTTGTCGTAACATGGAAGTAATATTACTTCCATTACTTCCATGGTCGTAACCAGTGGTTCCTTGGGACATACAGATCAATTTGTAATCAAAACAATCAGTAGCAATAAGACAAAAAAATTGCTTATACAACGACAAATTGATTTACCAAAACTTTTTTCAACGTTTGTAATTTTTTTTTAGAAAAGACCATTGCTCTGATAATCCATTTCAATAATAGATGGAACACTAAGCGTAAGAAAAAGCTTTAAGGGTATAACAAGGACATTTTAAAGAAATTCATTTTGATTGTGACAAAAAAGGTAAACGACGAGAATGAAAAACAAATTAAAAAGAATCCCAAGACAATTTAAGGCACTAGAAACAAGACTCACTATCCACATTGTACAGTGTATAAACTTACTGATATTGTCAAATAGAAAGTCGACTTATAAAATATTTTTTTCTCCAATTAAATGGCCCATGAAGAGCAACGTAATTTAATACAATGAGTTTTTATAACTTGCATAACTTATAGGTTCAATTAACCGGGTGTACCATTGGTAACAACCTTTGTTGTAGTTGTGTTATATTTATTTAAACATGTTCACAAGTCACTAAAATAAACAATTTTTTTACATGTACTTATTTACTTACTGTCGTAATTTTTTTAAAGGGAGGATTTTCTATAATCAGAAAAAATGAGATTTTCTGTTTATAAGAAAAGTAGGATTCTACATTATAAGAAAAAAAAATAGAATAGTAAATGAGAATATACATGTATTTATTTGTTTTGGCTGTTAGAATGTGTAGTTTAAGCAAATTTCAGAGAATTCATGAAATAATCAAAGTGAAGTTATAGGAAGAGTAAATGATTTTAAACTAGTCTTACCCGATTGTCTTTTGTTGTATGGTATACGTAAAGATAGAGTTGTACCGAAAATACATAAAAGTACAAGCAGTTTTATTCTTCCAATCATTCTCAAAATCTGTAAAAATAAAAATTCAAATTAATTAAAAGTTGTAAACAAATAATCCGGTATAAGTTCAGATTATAACAGGTATTGCAAAACACTATACGGTAACCAATTACTGTATCGATAATACATTTCTACTGTGTGATTTAATTTTATTTTTACATATTGATCTATTAAATTTGACCCACAAAAAGCATATATTTGTCCGATGACTCGTTCAACTATAATCCAAAACCTTTTTTTCTTCTGCAATTGTTTAAGGTTCATGTGGACCCTTTGACTAAACTGGGTGAAAATTTACTCTGAATACAGACAAACCTGAGTATCTGGATAAATTTTAAGGCATATAATGCTCTAGATAAATGAAATTCTAATATATTTTCTCTTTAAGAAAATTAAAAACTTAACTGGATTTTGCAGTGCACTTTTTTTCATTCCTCCAGAAAGTGCCAAAATAAACAAAGTTGGGATAGAGATTTGAGAACATCCCTACAGTTAATAATTGAAGTGAACTGTATTGATTGACATAGACAATAGAGGGACAATAGATACCTAACAATAATTGATGATTTAAACTGTGTACCTGAGTGGACCATATCAAGTGAAACTCAACTGTTTGTTAATTTTATCATCTTCTGCAGGGACGAAAAAAAGTGCATAGCAAAATCCAGTTAAGTTTTAAATTTTCTAAAACATAAAATGCATTTGAATTTTATTTATCCAGGGCATGCTATGCCTTAAAACTTTTCCAGATGAACAGGTTAGTCTGTACTCGGAGTAAATTTTGAGGTGAAAACGCAGCCATTTTAGCCAAAGGGTCCACATGAACCTTAAGGTTCACCACAGCGGGTTGACAAAAATGGCAGTGTACTCTGAGCACCTTGAAAACATTTAAGGCATTACTGGATCTAGATATACAAAAGTTATAAGCAGTTGATGTATTACAGAATTCAAAAGCCGGTCACATTTTATTTCAAGTCTCCGGCAGATGGTAAAATAAACAAACACACGAGATTCTCTTGAAACGGACCACTCAGTTGCATACTTAAGGAGATTTCTAGTGTCCCTTTATTGTCCATGTTAATACTGAGATACCTAAGAGAAAATGAAGAATAAATACAGGTCCATCCATTATTACATAAGCGGAACTTCTCAAAAATCTTTCTCGACTTAGTTTGTTTTGGCACTTTCTTTAGGAACAATAATAAATGCACAGCAAAATCCAAGCAAGTTTATTTTTATTTTCTGAAACATGAAATTTGTTTATTTAAGTCCAACAAAGTCTTACGACTTTATAGGTACACTGGTTTGTCTCTCGATGTTTGTCTGTACTCAGAGCGAAATTTGATGCTGAAATTATCTATGATAAACCTTAAACTTCCACCCTGTATACAAATATTTTCAGAAATTTTCAGACTGTTAAAGAGTTAATTGGATGTATTATCTATAACTCGACTTGTGTGATCTAACACGTTACTGTTTCATGTAAAACAATATAAAATATATGTTGAAATATATCAAAACCATATCTCCGAAATTTTACATGTAATGCGCACAGTCAGATGTAATGCGCCGATGTTGGTAGACCAATAATATGTTTTTTGCCAATTCAGTCTTATAAGAAATGTACTGGTCAATTACAATTTCACAAATAATATAACAAGATTTCAGATTGAACAATGAAAAAGTGTAGTAAAAAGGTAAGACAAATATAATAGATGCAAATTTGAAACAATAACATAGTAAGTAATGCACAATAGTAACTGAACATTTGTTGATTTTGAAATATTGAATATAAGAAATTTATGTAGAAAATGAAAACAGTGGTAATATGGTTCTAAAATAGACGTTCACTTCCAATAGTTATAAAACATATTTCAAATACTGTTAGAGCATAAAGTTTTATGATTGTACATTCTACATATAAACTTACCTTTTGACTGTTCCAGTACTAAGTTTTTCCTTGAGTGGTGTTCAGTACGAAACACATACCTTTTTATAGTCTCCACCTTCGGACAATTTCTCGCCTGGTCAGTTATCGGCTTTTATTAATTTCATTAAGAATTTCTCGCTTGCTTGATTTAGTTTTGAATTGTAGATAAAAATCGTATCACATGTCCGTGAAAACAAAGGGGTATCTCGCGAACACGCACGTATTTTTGGCCAGTTACTTCAATTAAATTTGGTCACTACCAAACCTGAGTTAAAACTGACATGATTTTTATTCAAGTCAGATTTAATCAACCAGTAACAAAAATATTATCGTAAGATTTGGACGTAAGCAGTAGTTGATGACCACTACATTGTAATAGTGGTCAGATGAAGGCTTCAGACGTAAGCATTAGTTCATGACGATTGACGTGATTTCTATAGCTTTACTTAAAATTCATGTCGTTCCAAATAAATTTGGTAGTAAAATATGTAAGTAGTGTTTTGACCTGCGACATGTTAATAAAGGTAATATGGGAGTATACATAAAAAGTGCAACCTATATGTTGTGCAAAATTCTTTTTTTTGGAAAGATAATATCCGAGAAAAACTATTTTGTAACTGAAAGGGAAACTTACTGATAGAATTTTTAAACTTGATTTGTGACATTAATTCAAGAAATTAAGGAAAAACTAATCTCCATTATCCATCATTATGCTACACAAGAAACTAGATGAATTCACAGCACATTTAATGATAAAACTTGTCCTGTCAACGTTCCACCTAACAGAAGCTCCACTGGAAACTTTGTTATAAACAATGTCATAATACCTGTTGAATCTGTTCCTGTTGGAACAAATATTCTATACCATTTTTTCCGTTAGGAACATATACTGTAATATTTATTCCATTTGGAACTAATATTATGAAGGAACTTCTATTTCGTGACAGTCCGAGTATCGCCCTTCATAAAGCAAAATTCCTCAATCCTCAATCTTAAGGCCTGTTGGCAAGAATTTTCCCAATGTGCAGGTTTTTCTTTGGTGCGTTTTTCTCGGCGTATTTTCTTCTCTGTGCTTTAACTTCGGGTTTAATGTGCAGTCAATAAAAAAAAGAAGACTTAATGTGATTATAAAAAAGAAAAAAACTTAAGTTATTACCAAAAAATAAAATCATATTTCTTTGGAATCCTACAAGTAATTTGCATTTCTTCTTAAGGGCATACGATACAGTAGCAAGGGCAGATAATAAAGTTTTCAAAACTTTTCGTGTTGTTTTCGCGACGTTGTTAATCAGAACGGTGTAATTTCGCGATGTTTCTAATAAGAACGATTACATTTCGCGACGTCGCTTTAGATGTAGTCACATTTGCGGAAAATCCACTGACGTCATAATCCCGATTGCGCGAATTTGAAAAAAGTACCTGCAATGAAAATCGGCCAATTCACGAGAATTGTTATATTTATTCATTAATATGGAAGTCAACAATATTAACTTCGAATGGGAAAATAATCAAATCCACATTCTTAACTTTGTATGTCTGTTATTTCATATAGTTAATGAATAAGAGATATGAAAAACATAAGACGTCGATGAGAGAGAAACCCAACTACACAAAAAAAACCAAAACAATAAGTAATTTATATAGTAACTTCACCATTTGGCTCACAAAAAAACGTAATAAATAATGACAGCGCATCTTACTGTTCCTGACTTTGAAAAGGTACAATAAAGAGTTTAACGACATTTTTAGAATTTAACCCGTGGAATATATATGTGTATGAAGAAGAACTGTCAGTTAAAATGACACAGTTATAAGCCCCGTATTATAGCCCAAAAACAAAAACGCACCCGTTGATGTGCTAAGCATATCCTCTATGTACATATTGAGAGAGAAAAATCAGCACACAGGAATTAGGTATTTGACAGACCAGAGTTGCAACTCATTGATGTTAAGTTACTGAACAAATACGAAGTCTTTTTGTAAAGTAGTTTCTCAGATAAGAAACAAAATATTTGTTGGACCGGACAACTTGAACAATGTGGTTGCACTCACTCCTAGATTGAAGGTATAATACAGACAAGTAATTCAATGATTATATGTACCGTAATAAAAAAAAATACCCTGAAGACAAGCTTAGGTAACTTATCTATTAATACAGAATCATTAAATTTCATGCTCTTATATCGACTGCTGTATGAAATGTTATACTACACTGTAATGGACTAAGCTGACCCTAATTTAATGTGGGTATGATTTTGTGTTCATGTAATGCCTAGAGTAGGTCGTTAGTTTTCTTGTTTGAATTATTTCACATTTTCATGTCGGGGCTTTTTAAAGATGACTATACGGTGTGGCATTTTTTTTAAATTTTTTTTTTTTGTGTTGAAGGCCGTAGGGTTAGTGTTAATACCTTTTATAGCGTTTATCTTCGTCATTTGAACTATGGTTGATAGTTTTCTCTTTTGCAATCATACCAAATGTCCTTATTTTTATATCATCCCCCTTACTTTATAAATGTTGCACATTTTGTCATGTCGGGGCCTTTTGAATAATTAAAACTATGTTCAAGCTGTGTTGTCTACATGAATTGTATGACTAATGTCGGAAGTGCAGAGATGCAAATTAATTTTGTTTATTATATATATATATATCTGTTTTGTTACCGAACATTTCTTTTCTATAAGTAATCTACTAGAATACTTTTTCTATCCAAGTTTTGTAACAATTCATAAAGGTTTGGCAAATATGATGCTATTTACGAGGAGCCAGCTTTATTAATTTTCATGATTAATATCATTGGTTTAAAAACAACCACCTTGGCTCTACCACTGAAATATTGACAACGTAGTAGTGAACGGCGGGAAAGATTTCACGACGTTGTTGCGAATAAAACTTATTCCAACGTAGTTTGGCGCCTTATTGGCAAACGTCCCGTTTGCCAATAAAAATTAAGGTTTATTGCTTTTATTGAAAAAACAAGCACATGGACCCCCAGTTTTTTCTTTTGCAATCAATCAAGTTCTGTTTCGAGAACGCTCCGCCAAAATTTTAAGAAAAAAATCAACGATAGAATTTTTTCTACACTTCTGTGTAGACGCAAAAATATTGTCATCTTCTTTATTTTACTTGTATTAAAAGAATTTAGGATATAATTATTTATTTCAACCGTTAACTTGTTACAGCATGCTGATGCCATGGATCAAGGGAACATTTTACAAAAAAAACGGTTAAGTTATGACTGTTCGTTCAAAAGTATTGGTGCTTTCCTTAAAAGTCCTTATTTATGAAATTTCAGGGTTTTTCCTTCAAATATGCAAATTTCGAAACAAATTATCTCAAAAACTAAGTCATGAAGGTATATTTTTCTTTGCATATTTCAAAAGAACACATCAAAATTGACCTTCTACCAAAATTTCAAGAAAAAATCAACGAGGGATCTCTACTGTATCGTATGCCCTTAAATGAATGCTAACTCTGAAAAAAATATACTGATCCTTTGCGCTCCAGACGGCGGAATATTGTATCCAATACTACGTTAATCGTATATATCTCACAGTTAATATATTTCAATTACTATCACAAATATTATTCAGACAAAACTGTCACTTGTTTTTTTTTTCTCTCCCCCTACTGATGTCTGAGGAACAGGATGTTATTTGCAAGGAGGGTTCGACGTTGACATCTACTGCAAACGATTTGATTAGTGATTTTGAGATGAAGAACAGCAATTATACCGCTTTTTCTTTGTTTTAGAGACGATTTACTCTATCCCATGGCAAAGACTCTATCACCCTTCACGGAGACGCTTGCTCATGTGTGCGCTTTAATAAATACGGATGATTGTTATGTGCAAGACGACATAGTTTATTACTTTGAATTTGAAATTTAATAGACAGTAATAACAGAATATTCAGTATGAGAAATTAAATAACACATGTCTGCGAGAGTGATAGGGCAGATTGTTACCCCTCGAAAAGACATTGTCAACCTTGGCTTCGCCTCAGTTGACAATGTTTTCTCGGGGTAACAATCTGCCCTATCACCCTCTCAGCTATGTGTTATTTATATAATATCTTCCCCAAGTATACAACATTGTATGATATCTCCCCTTAGTAAACGATATCGTATTATATCTTCCCCTAGTATACAACATTGTTAGGTATCTTCCCCTAGTATACAGCATTGTTAGATATCTTCCCCTAGTATACAGCATTGTCAACATTGTTAGATATCTTCTCCTAGTATACAACATTACAAGATATCGAAGTTTTATTTTGAAAATTAACTTCTCATCAGTGTTCCTCGAAACCAAGTATGGAAATCCGACAGTTGGAGAGCAAAAAATCTTATTCACGTCAAAAAGGGAACCAAAACTATCCTAGGTATACCTAACCTCAGATATAATTTGTATGTACCCTTGACGATTAGGCGGTTTGTTTTCTTGTCCTATCTGTAGTTTTTATCTCAGAATGCGAGACACAGGAATTGCAATCCGGTGGTGGCGTCGGCGTAATCTATTTGTTTAAAGCTTTATATTTCAGAATTTAGAAGACCTGGATGCCTCGTACCTTGTTTACATATACCTTACGTTACGAAGTTTCCGCCTGTCATATGTCCATTGTTCTTGACCTCATTTTCATGGTTCAGTGACTGCTTGAAAAAAAACCAGTTTTTTTGTCAAGTGAATTACTCACTTATTCACGGCCGACACTCGGCTAACCGAGAGATTGGTCGGTTAATCTATATTGAGTATGCGGCTATATGGGCGGTTGGTCTGTTAATCGGGTCGGTTATACGTCTGTTAAGAGTAAAACGCACAATTTAAATGTTCAACTCTGTTAAATATACAGATTATAAGATTTGGCATATTATAAGAACCAAATAAAAAAAAGAAAAGTGTCTGACAAAATGATATCTATCATAGAACATTTTCCACCTGTCAAAACATTTCATAGTCTGCGCAAACTTCAGTAAAACTAAAAGGCGTCGCGCAAGTATGTGGTATTTATGCTTATACGCATAGCAATTGTTTTAATAAAAGGCGAAACAAACAATTTTAGATATCATTTAAAGGACACAAAATAGTA